CTGTTGTGTGGTAGCCGTTGACGCTTAACAGCCAGTTGATCTCTCACTGAAAGCTCCTTTTGCAAACTAGCAATTTCCAGCTGGAGGTGATTTTGATCAACGAAATGGGGTTGTTACTCAGTAACTTGGTGCTGTAGAGCTTCTACTATACGGCTGAGGTCAAATTGATTAGCATTAAGTTTTAGTGATTTTCTTTCTTTCTTTCTTTCTTAAAATAAAGGAAATAATTTCACGGTATGGTAGATCCAACGAGGTCCTTTCTTCCAAAGATTTCATGACACGCAGTGAAGTCAACTTATATGACAACTTAAAAAGAAATAGTTGCTCCATTAATGAAATGATTTACGAGTTTCACAAAGGTCTTTTTGTTGAAACTATGGTTGCCAAGAAACCATTTGAAGAGTAAGCTTATAGAGATACATGTTATGCAATTGAATTTAACAGCGTATTTTATACTTTTAGACTACCCAAAAAAGGCATGATTTGCTTCTTTTAAAAAGGTATAAAATTAAAAGGAAGCGCCGTAAGAATGGTACGAATGGTACGAATGGTAGGAGTGGTAATACAGTTACACATAAAAAACTAAACATAACATGTAGCTTGATCCTCACCTATCGGTCAGCTCGTCTACTTCTTTTTTCTCTTCCTCTGCTACTTGTTGTATTCGGTTTTGTTATTGAAAAAGGCTGTTAAGTCGATGACTTGCGAATTAAATTCCTTATTAAAAAGAGCTGAATATTGCTAAAATAAGATGAGCATGCTATTTATATTAATGTGGTTAATATAATTATTTATGCTTACGTGATTGGCTTGAACACTCGTATAGTTATTAACTGCAGGCATAGGCACCTGTAGAAAACTTTCCCCAGAAAAACTCAGTTTCCAGCAAATGCTGTGTGATAGGTCAGTAAAATACCTTCACTGTACCTCCTGGATCAAACCGATTGCGGCTCATAATGAGATAAGCTTTTGGATTACTCATTTGCCTCGCTCTTGTTATAACGAGTAATTTCGTCTATTACATGGCAACCTGCACCACCGTTCTCTTCTGCATAACCTAATTTCGTCCGCGCAGCCTACGTTGTGCCTGCTTTGCCAACACTCCAGTCAAGCTATGGAGCACTCTGTCGTATTTCTACGTTTTTATCAAAGGAAATTACTCCCTTTAACGTAGTATAGTCAATATATATTTCATACGCAAGCCAAAATCATCTTAGATATTAACATAATATCTCAGATTAAGCCTACAACGCTGATTCATCACATCTGTAGTCTGTAGTAATTGATGATGCGTCATATCTAATATGCAACTGGTTGACAACATTTGTTCTTCTAGTTAAAGTTCAATTTCTTTTTTCCCATGAATCTCTTTCTTTTATTTGTTCATAAAAGAATTATAAAAAGGCTCATTCTATCTACTTGTATTTTCTGATTTTCCGAGTTAGAAACAACTTTATTCAACACTATCATAATGCCTATCTGACGACAATGGACGACAGAGGTAGGCTGAATAATCAGATGTTGACAGATTCTATAACGCCTGACAAGTATTCGAGGGGAATTAGAAACACTCTTGTGGGTAAGCGTGGTATTTTAAAGTATTATTGTATAGGAATAAGACCACTGACGACAATATGTGGAGTAGCATCGTGTACATGAACCAAAGGTCCTTTTGACGCCTATATTCCAGGTAAATGAACTAGAAACATGAGAATTCCACTCAGAAGGACTGCTGACAAGCTTCAGTCGTCGTATTGGGCCTTAGAGATGAAAATTATGGCGATTATGCTATGCTTATACATTGCCTATCGATCTCTGACAATTCTTGTATGCCTATCGGGGTCTATTAATGGGACAAGCCATCAGTCGGTGTTCATCCTGCTATGTGTCAGCATCTCAACTTAGACTTTGACGGTGATGAAGTTCATATCTCAGTCGTATTATCTGAAGCTACAATTGAAGAGATAAAGCCTCTGATGCACAAGAATTCACTGTTTAACAAATTCCTTGATGAAGCAGTATTGGATATCACATCTGAAATGACAACAAATATAGGTAAAAGAACCGAGGCTGAAAGGCTACTCCATCGTTATGAGCAATTCTTCCATAGATAGATCAGTTGCTATGAGAGAAAATTTATTGAGGAAAGGATGTTACAAATATATTCATCTTCTACCATACTCACCATTTCTTAATTTTATTGAAGAGGTTTGACTAATGGTTAAAATATGATGCCAAAAGACAACCTTTTGATGGCAGATCCAAAGTTGCATTAATATACCCTAAGAAATGAAAAATACAATAGCTCATGCTTACTAATGAAATGTTTCGAGCTCGAATATGTTTGATACTCGAGTCATGTTTGTGATTGCTGCCATTTTAGCTGGCTTTGTATTCGTTATCTCTCTTTCTTTGTAACACCGCATCGACATCTTTTAATATGGACAGTGTCCCCCCTCCCTCCCTTGCTACCGAAATCAATGAGTAGAACCATAAAGCGATCATACAGTCTTTCTAATGTTTCCCTTTCCTTTTTATAATAAGCATGGATTCATGGGAATGTTTTTTGTGAATAGAGTAACACTGCTTTTGTTCCCTCCTTTCTTGAGATTCTATTTTATCTATGAAAAAGACTTGAAAAAATAAAATATACATGAAGCATTGACTCTATTCATCTACAATGCATTCCACGTGATCTTCAATGAAGAAGGATCCTACATTTATTGTCAAGCACTCACAGTTTAATCATCTATGCTTAATAAATAATAAATAAAAACGATGATTTGATTGGATCTAAAAAGAGACAGAAGAAGAGACAGAAGAGAGAGAGACACAGAAACAAAATTTTATATCTCTTTCTCTCTTTTTATACATTTAATAAAGATCATTATTGAGTGAGACTTATTGGCATGACTGAAAATGTCTGATACAACACAACCAAGCAATACTACGCCTACTGATCAGCAAGATCCATCTGAAGATAACTCAAATAACCAAACACAAGATAATAAAAAGAAACCTCGCACTGGACCTAAAAGACGAAAAGTAACACATGGTAAGATTATGATTATAAAGAAACTTTTACTAAATCTCTCTTTTTTTTCAACAGCTTGTGTTTACTGTAGACGTTCACACATGACCTGTGATGAAGGTGTGATTTATATATAATTGTATACATCTTGATACTGACCCCCTCATTCCTAAAAGGTCGCCCTTGTCAACGTTGCATCAAGCGAAGTATTGGACATTTATGCCATGATGAAGTAAAAACACCCAATAACTCTGCTTCTTTACAACAACAACAGCAACAGCAACAGCAACAACAATTAAACAACCCGAGATCGGATATACCGGCTAGCCTGAACGGTAACTATGCATCATTATCTACTATGGCTCAGGCAAACGGTAACTTTAAAGAGAAAAGAGAAAACAAAACCATGACTAACCATACATCACATCTAGTGCTGGGATCTGGTAGTAACCTCGGAGGACTCCCGCTTCAGTTTTATGGACAGATGGGAGCTGGACAACTCACGTTTGCCAGTGAACAAATGGGAAATGAAATATCAGTGATCAGTGATTTTTTGGATTCGTTAGGTGCAAACGGAGACGTTCAAGGAATGTATGCAGCCAGAAATAACAACAACAACAGCAATAGCAATAATAACAGTAACAATAATACCAACAATAACAGTAACAACGCAGCATCTAATGCCACAGTCAATAACACCGAACGCTTTTTCCTTACAGCAGCTGACCCGTCTGATGGGAAACTAGAAGACAGGTTGACAGAGGTGATCAATGCAAAATATGAGGCTGGTTTTCTCAAGCCTTATAATTATGTCAATGGTTATGCTAGACTTCAAAAATATATGGATAACAAGCAAGTATCATAAAAAAAAGAAAGAGAAAGGAAGAGTGCTAATATTCATTCCCATATAGCATGTCTGCCTCCAGTCGACAGCGTATATTGAATGTCATGGGAACATTCCGTCCTGCATTTAGATCAGTTGCTCAGTCACTGACGGATATTGATTTAATACTGGTTGAAGAAGCATTTGAACGATTGCTTTTGGTAAAAAAAAAAAAAAGAAGGCATACACAAACAGAAAAGATCATTGACAGATATTAGGATTATGACCGAGTGTTTAGCTCGATGGGTATACCTGCATGTCTTTGGCGTCGTACTGGTGAAATATATAAGGGCAATAAGGAATTTGCCGCATTGGTCAATGTTCCTATCGAGAATTTAAGAGAAGGTAGACTATGTATTTATGAATTAATGGCCGAAGAATCAGCTGTGAATTACTGGGAGGTATGTTGGATGTCTACTACACTGTAAATAGATACCGATAAATACAATAGAAATATGGAAATATTGCATTTGATCCTGGTCAAAAGGCTGTCTTAACATCATGCCTATTAAAAAGCCCAGATCCAGAAAATACAAGTGTGATTTCATGCTGTTTTTCATTTACGATTCGTAGAGACAAATATAATATTCCAGTAAGTTGAACAAGGATGAATATGACACTTTGACACTAAAAATGATATCAATTGATTAGACTGTCATCGTTGGAAACTTTTTACCGATTCAATTACAATAACAATAGTAGTAGTAGTAGTAGTAGTAGTAGTAGTAGTAGTAGTAGTAAGATCGATATTTATATATAAAATGTGTATTTTATTGAAGTCCTTTTTATTGCTCTTGTTGATGCGCGCGTTTTAAAATGAATGTAATAATAGTTGGTATGTACATGGTCATGATTTACTTTCTTTGTTTCCCCTTCACTTTCATAAGGCAGTTATTGCAATACCATTTACCTTTTGGGACTGTCTTGAGATCAACACAGGCTACATGGAACCATTCAATCTCACACTATGATATGATATTAGTTTGAAACAGCCCAACTATAAATATCTTCACCCTTACATCTGAATTATCACAAGCAACCATGTCACCAAAAGACACTTGTTGACAATAACAGTAAAGGGGTTCATTTGGATCAATTGGCAGGTCAGCAGGCACAACACTAAAAAAAGAGGGTTAATAAGCACTCCTATGACACTATACTCGATGCATACGTTTTTGACTTTGCATTTCCATTCTTATTTGCCTGTTTCAACTTATTATCTGTCTTTATCGACCTAGATTCCTTAATTGCTTGCGTACGTAGAGCAGAAGGTGATAGACTTCCGTTCGTGTCCTTTACAGTCTTTCGTTCTATATGAAGAGTTATTAAATGAATAATCAATCTTGGATTCTATGTTTTTACTTTTAACTACTAAAGCAATGTTTGATTAGTTCATGTTTATACAACAAAAGACACACATACTCCTCTTTTCTCCTTTAACTTCTTTTCGTTCTCTTTCCAATCGTTTTGCTGTCTTTTCTCTTATGTCTGTTCCTTCTTTTAAGTAACGCGATGAAGGCTCTAATCCTGGCAAGGTCGTTATCCGTGCATCCCCTAACGTCTGCTCTTCTTCAAACTTGACTAGATTAGAATCCAGTCGATTACAGTGACGCTCTACCTAATGAAGGGAATAAGCACCGAGTTTTTTTTTTTTTTTTTTTTCTTTTTTTCTTGTATTCTTTTCAATTACAATATCAAAAGTGGATTTTGCTAAAGCTACTTTTTCTTCGCCTCGTTTTAATGTCTCTGTCAAGACTGTCATGAAATACTTGAACTTGTCTATTCGTGTGTTGGGATCCATATCTTTTATATTGTCAATCAAATAAATGGCTTCTCTCGAAACAGTTTCTATAAGATCTACAGACATGTGTCAACACCTGTTTCTTTTTCCCTTCTTTTTTTGTTCTAACCTTGAGCATATCCATCCAATTCTCTCATTAATGTAAAATTTCTCTGCAAGTCTACTGGAATTGCCTCGAGTGCTATATTAAATGTCAATATATTGCTTGCTTTTTTTCTCTCTCTCTTTTTCTTTTCTTCTTTTACTGTCTATGTAGTCATCAAGATAAACAAGATTGTCTAATTGTTTTGTCATTAAATTATGCGGCTTCATTTATCCTCTCTCTCTGTCTCTCTTTTTTTATATATTTATCAATGACAAAAGGATTGTATTTTTTTTAGTTACAGCGCCTCTAATACCAATGAACGCCCAACAGTCGTTGTTTTAATTCAAATCACGCTTTTGCCCAGTCATGAGTGTTTGAATTGGATTCGTTAGTGGAAAAAAAAAAAAAAAAAAAAAAAAAAAAAACTGAGCAGTCTGCCCTTTCATGTTAAATGAAATGTAGCAGTGATCTGGTCAAAATGACCTAAAGCATGAGCACATAGCACTGTCATTTCTACTGCATTCTTGATTAAATATAGCCTGGGACTCCTACCAGTCAACAAGAAAAAAGAGAGAAAATGAGCAAAGGGGCATTGTATTAGCTTTCTGATGATCATATGTGAATGAAGTGGATCAATATCTACACATGAAAAACTATTAGATAGCTACGAATAATGACCCCCATCCATATGTATGAAGATATTGCCAAATATATCAAATGCCAATGAATAGTGACTTTTATCACCCCTCAGTATAAAAATAAAAACGCGCGTCAGGCTGTAATTTATGACACATTCAGATTGTTTTGTTAAACGAGAACGGAGCAAGTTTTAAACTACGGCGTCGTTTGCCGAAGGAATCAAATCAATTACAATGTTTGTTTTATTCATCTTATCTGACAAACTTATACAAGTCTTTGTTGCTATCCCAGCGAAATCTATTATTACCAAGCAGATCCTTTCTTCCGTATCCGCCAAAAATGCATGAGATATAATTGAAGAGAGATCCCATATAGGATTAATATGCATATTCAAAGCTTACTTTATAAAAGATTATTGACAAAGCTGAATAGATAAGGATAAATGACATCATCAGAAAATTGTATTGTGCTTCATATTTGAACACAGTGTGTGTGTGTGTGAAAGTGTAAATAAACAAAACCACGCGACGTTACAAAGATATTTCATTGAGAACAAAGTTTCGACTACACAAGAATATTTTTCTCTTGTATTAGTTTATTGTTATTGTAACATGATCTAACCGTGATGAGGAGTACCAACAGCACGGCTGCCAGCACCTGTTCCATCTCTGTAGAGTTGCTGATCCCACAAGTAGAGACCAAGTCCTAAAGGGACAGTTTAGAAAATTCGGGTTATGTATGCTTATATTTTTTTTTGTCCTCACCTTCACCCACACGGTTCAACTGGGTAACCATATCAGACAGTTTCTTGATTGCCTCTACTTGTTCACCCAAGAAATTGCCTTCGATAAAGTCACACATTTGAGGGTCACTATTACTATCAGCAATCTTGTGCAGCTTCAAGAGAGAATGGTTGACGTCTATATACAATATGTCGATAAAAGAAAAAGAAAAGCGATGTTTGTCTTGTTTACCTTTTTCAAGCTGAAGAGCAGATTCAACCGCATTCTTTGCAGACTTCCAGTCAACCTAAAGTTATAAAGATGAGAATCCCATTGAACATACATGCGTATAAATACCTCTGGTGCATGCAAAGCGCGTAAAGCGACACGACCACCTCTAGTATTTACATAATCTGTAACGACATTAGATTGTTGTCCACTTGACAACTTTTTTATTTTATTTTTTTACCAATCAGTTTTTGAGCATGTTCTCTTTCCTACAAAGAAAACATCAGTATTTCATCCATACCAAAACGCTAAACTTACCTCTTCAGCAGCCTCACGAAAGTATTTTTCAAGACCTGTCATCCTCGCATTAGCAAAGCAATAAAAAAGCATAAAAACTCTTATATTTACCAGGTAAGGCAACTGTTGAGTGTTGAGCCCAAGCAGACATGGAAAGATAAACTTGAGAAGCTTGAAGCTCCGTATTGATTTGTTGGTTCAAGGCTTCTTCAGATTGAGTAGAGAAATTCTGCTTGGTAAGAGCCATTTTTGAGAGATTAATGTAAGTGAGTTGAAAGAAAAGAAAAGAGAAAAAACGCGTAATGGGAATGAGAGGGGATACTTATAGCTTTTTTTTTTCTTGTTTGTTTTTAATTGTGTAAGACAGTAACCATTTTCTTGTTTGCTTCTTAATCGTGTAAGACAGTAGCCATTTTTGTGTTTGCATAAACAATAATAAAAAATAATAAAAAAAGCATGTCATAAAAAGAATAAAGGCCAGTTGTGTCTTTTATTGAATAGAGTCAAATCTATATTCTCTACAAGAGACTTTAGCGTATGTATCTTGCATAGAAGTGAAGAATATAAAGAAAAAGAGAGAAGAGGTTTAATGTTTAAAACATGTTTCAAGTAAATTAAAACTTTATCCAACAATACAAATAAACATTTATGGGCTCATTGCTTTTTTATTTTGTACATAGCCAACGGCAAGTCATCGTCTTTTTTTAGTCTACTACTACTGCTACTGCCACTACTGCTATTATTATTATTAAAGATACGATCATCATCCTCTTCTTCAATATCATCCTCATCATCGTCTTCATCATCTTCATCTTCATCCGATGAACTATCCAACTGTTGCCTTGTTCCCTTTCTCTTTGTTGTATGCTGTCTTGGATTCAAATAATTTTCAGGTACAACAAAGCCAGTCGATTGATGACGAGTAGAGGAAGGATTTGGCATAAAGGCTGTATTACCCTTGGTTGATTTCAAATCGACCTTTGTCTTCTTTTGTTGTGGCGGTCTTTTTTTCTTTTTTATCAGTTTATGTGTCTTCACAGGAGGTTGTTGACTGTCATTTGTCGATATGACGGATAAGTACCAAAACATAAGATTAGATATCAGGACCTGTTCATGAAGTGGTCTACGTGGATTGGCTAATTTAACATGAGATAGTTTATAGATTGCTCTTTCTACATGAAGTGGTAATCGTGTCATGTACATCCGATTGAGTTGAAAGTCTTTTGGTGCTTGTAAGGTATCTTTTTCTTCCATATCTGTTGGAGTATGCTTTGATTTTCTAGAGAATAATGAAGACAATGTAAATCGTCTTGATGGTATATTATCTGTTGGTGGTTTGGATGGTTGATCATGGTCTACAGGATCTACTTTATTCTTTTTAGATGATTTCTCGTCTGACCAAAAAGTCCATGACCATGCTGATTTCCTACTTGACGCAGTAGATGTTGACATCGATCGTGTCATCGTAAGTTGTGGTTTGTTATCCTCTTTTTTATCAGAGGCAATCTCCAGTTCCTTTACTTGTTCCTTTATCTCTTTTTCTTCCTTGACAACCTGATCATCTTCAATTGGTAAACATTCATCATCCACAAGTGTAATGCCTTCAGGTGATGTATTCGGTGCATAGAAATCAGATTCGCTATTTCGCGTTCTCAGCATTGGTCTCTGTTGTTGTTGTTGTTGTTGTCCAGCTGTCGTACTAGGGTTTCTCTTTGCTCGTGCACCTCTTCTGTGGAGTGGCCGTCTATCCGTTTTAGGAACAATGGCCCGCGACTGATCAAGTGGAGATGAATTTCGATCGAATTTTAAGAAATCAGGAACAGAGTGATCATCTAGAGATAAAGAGGTTAAAATGGAGTTGAATACATATTTTATATAATAACCATTTGCATTCGGTAAATGTAAACTAACACTTCGACGTATCAATGATCTCCTTTTTAACTCATCCTCATCTTGCTTTTCTTTATTATTATCTTCTTCATCAAATTTAGGTTCATCCGCTGTAAAATAAACAGACAGTACAGATTGTCTCCTCTTTACACTCTTTCTTCGAATCATGAAACCTAGTGCGTCCACATACTTTTCAAATTCTGTAGGTGCAATTTCTGGATGTTGTGAGGCAGGTACCCTAGTATGTATAAGTGTCTTGCTATCTAGTATTGTTTTATTTATTACCAAAAAAGATGAGAAGGATTGGACGTGGCAATGTTGATAACTTCTTTTCGTAGATTGCCTTCTTCTGTTATCTGATTCAAGTTTCTTTGTAAAGAATGAGCTCGAGTCAGTCCTTCAGATTCCTTGGTACTGTCTTTTTCATTCAACTTCATCTCTTCCCAATCATCAAGATTAGGAATGTTTATTTCAGGTAAAGACACTTGCATATATAGGATGAATTGTGGATGATAGGATGCAAAAAAGAAGAAGAAAAGAAAAGAAATGATGAATTCCCTTTTTATATATGTTTGTTTCTATAAATATGAAGGATATGAAAATGCAACCAAAGAAAAGAAAAAAAAAGGAGGGGAAAAGACCGACAAAAACAAGAGGAATCAAAAAACCTGCGTGAAAATATAACTGACTTTTTTTATTCCATTGAATGTAGTGCAGACCATGCTTTTTTACAACGTGAATAAACTATGTTGTTTCCCCCCTCCTTCTTCAACTCCTTGTTTTCATTCCCTCTTTCCCCTTGTTGCTCTGTGTCATTCCTTCAAATGATCAATTATATCGCTCAATTTATGGCTCGTCATTGTTAATCCTTTGCTATATGATTAAAGCCAATGTTACACCAATTATCTACTCCAGGAATGAACGCTACACAATTATTTTTTTTTTAAAGCTAAATCAGACATCCGCTACAAAAAAATTTGGAACAATAATACATATCGTCTACTTGTAAACTGTTGGTATAGAATGAAGATCGTAGTTACCATAAAAGGTAAAAGTAAAGTCTATTTGTAGTTGATAAGGAATATAAAGTGATTTATAAGCACTATCAAATTATCTCAACCGTAGCTCATCATCTCTTTTGTAATTAATCATCTAGACAGAATCTATCGAAGAATTGTCCAGGTAAGTGAGCCTCTTGTTGTTTCAGGACACAGCAATCACCCGTAGGTCAATAAAAAAAAGATGAATGCAATAGATAGTAATATCCAACTAAGTAAGCAGCCATTCCTTTGTAGTTACTCGTACACTAAACCATGCTATAGACAAGTCTTGTAGACATATGTAAGCGAAGCACATTATTGTCACAAATCTTTTTAGCGGACGTCTCATTTTAACTTAAAAAAGAAACTGTGCATAAAGTGATCGCGTCGAGGGTAAACGCGATTTTTGGATCTCAGTAAAATGAACATTACGTCAATGCATAACATCAGTATTGTCAAGTTGATGTCAATTCTCCCAGTTGATTAAATAAAGAACTTTTTTTTGTCTTTCTTTTTCTTTCTTTTATACATCATTCAAACCATGGGTAACGATAATCATCATAAAAAGCATCATTTTAGAGACATTGCAGAGGAAGTGATGACAGAAATGTAAGGGTTTAGATAACGTTCAAACGGTTTGAAACTGATATTTTATTTAAAAAAGAATGTCAGAGAAGCACTCTGAAGCACATCAATTGCTTAGAAACGCTCCAGGAAATGAAAATCGTAGTATGGCAGCCAAGAACAGAGGTGAGGTGCATGGTATTACACATCCTGGATCGACCGGTGTGATCTATGTGATGGACCGAGCGACGAAGAACGGATACACGCCTGATAGTGAAGAATGGGCTAATTTTGGTCAAGGCGCTCCTGAAGGTAACACCTCTTTTCGAAAATGATGACATGTTTACTGATGTTTATACAGTCGGCCATATTGATGGTTGCAAGGAACGGCCTCGTCAGATTGATATACCCGAGGAGGCTTATGAGTACGCTTCTACCACTGGCATTAAAGAGCTCAGGAAGGCAGTAGCCAATCTGTACAACGAAATCTACAGAAAGAACAAGTCATCCAAGTACACAGAGGAAAATGTCTGTATTGTCCCCGGTGGTCGTGCTGGTTTGAGTCGCTTGGCATCCGCCATGGGTGATGTCAATGTGGGCTATTTCTTACCCGAGTATACCGCCTATGAACAAATGCTGTCTGTCTTTAGACGCTTTGTGCCTATCCCTACTGCCTTGGAGGAAGAGACGAGGTATCATATATCGCCCGAGACGCTCAAGAAGGAAATCTCTTCAAGAGGTCTCAGTGTAATCGTTGCTTCCAACCCTCGTAATCCGACTGGTCAAGTGATTCAGGATGATGAACTGGCTGCCTTGGTTCAGATCGCTAAAGAACGACACACGGCCATGATCATGGACGAATTTTATTCTGCTTATATTTATGATCGAGAAGAAGGAAAGACAGTGAGCATAGCTGAATTTGTCGAGGATGTTAATGAAGATCCCATCATTGTTGTTGATGGCCTAACGAAAAATTATAGAGTAAGACTCCCCTCTAGAATGAATAAGTGGACATACTAAACCCTTTAATAGATGCCTGGATGGCGTGTCTGTTGGATTGTTGCACCTAAGGCTGTTATCACTGCCATGGAACAAGCTGGTTCATACCTCGAAGGTGGTGCAAACCATCCACTTCAGCATGCTGCTATACCTTTCCTTGCTCCTGAGGTTTATAAACAGGAAGCAAAGGCACTTCAAAGACATTTCAAAGAAAAGCGCGATTATGTACTCAAGAGACTCGAAGAGATGGGATTAAAAGTAAAGGTACCACCTAACGCTACGTTCTATATCTGGCTTGATGTCTGTGGGCTGCCTGAACCTTTAAACATTGGACTGACATTCTTTGAAGAATGTTTAAAAGAAAAAGTGTAAGTGCAAGTATGTATGTGTGTAACGATCAGATGTATCTTATTTTTATACTCTAGTATTGTTGTTCCTGGTATCTTCTTTGATGTGAATGTAAGTCGTCTACGTGTTTCATTTGATAAGATCTTAATATTTTACTTTTCATAGCCTGCACATCGTCGTGAGTTATTCGAATCTCCCTGTCATCATTTCGTAAGACTAAGCTTTGGCCCTCCTATGGAGCAAGTCAAGAAAGGACTGGACAATATTGAACGTATGATCAACAAGTTTAAAAACAAGTCAAAGTAAAGAAAATATGATATAATGCGACATGCTTTATACAACAAAAAAATAAATAAATCTGTATGGTTTGCTTTACGCATCTATGCTGTCTTTGATTTTTTAGCAGCTTGCATAAGGGCAAATGCCAACACTGTGTAGTTTGTGAATATGTCTTTCATCATAAATAACAATGCTTGAGATAAAACAGCCTTTGTGATTTGAGTGCTCATTCCCTATTAAACATAATGAGCTTCTCTCTCTTTTTTCTCTCTTTTTTTTTATTACCTTGTACCAACCAAAAAATCCATCTGTTTTGAGAACACGAGCAAGAACATCTAAAGATCCCTTATAGGGGACAATCTTGTCTTGTTTCTCTTTTGAGGGTTTCCACTGAAGTCGTACCTTGGCCATAATATAGGGGTAAGTAATCACCGTGGCCAACGTCTTTGCAAGTGCTCCGACCAAAAAGTTGACTCCGGGTGTGAGTGGTAATTTCAAGACGTTGAGGACGATCTGCTTAATCTTTTCAAAACTACCATAGGTAATAGCGGGGTTGACACATAGGACGAGAGAGGGCTGAATGCCCTTCCAGAGGCCCTGAATACCTTCTTCTTCGATGATCGTCTTGCATGTATCAACAACACCTTGGCGCTCAGAGGGTGGTAACGTTTGCTGACGAGTCGTGATGACGGATACGGGTGTTGTGATCAGTGTGGTGAGGGCACCGGCAGCCGCGCCCAGGATAAGTTCCATGGCTGTAGATAATGTGCCTCCGCGAGGGTTGTATCGCTTATTGTAATTCTCTCTTAAGAAGGAATAGCAGTAAAAGTAAGTGAAATTGGTGGATGCGGTTCCGATCAAGGAAGAACCGAGTCCAGCATAGAGTCCGGCAATACCTTCCTTATTTACGATCTGTTGAATACCATCCCAGGCTGACTTATAGTGTTCCTCTTCGGGCTGTTTTCCTTCTTTCACTTGGACTTGGATTCTTGTTTTGATGCTATGATGGATTATTTCAATATTTTACGTGAGGAAATAAAATATATAAATCTCACATGTCAAGGGGATAAACAAGTGTGAGAGCAAACATGGCGCCAGCAGAGCCGGCTGTAGCATGCCCTATAGGCGGTAATGTTTCCTTGGTGACTGCAGCCATGATAACAATAAAAAAAAAAAAGAACAAGTCGATAAAAAGAAAAGAGAAAGAAAGAAGGAAGGGAAAGAAAGGGTTTAGTTTTGTTCTTTTTAGAGAAAATGCTGACTCAAGTACTTTCCACATTGACTGTGACTGTGCGCACTTTAACCGATAATGAATACTGCTTTCTACTTTGATAAGCTTCTAATTTGTGTCTTGTGTTTCATTTCATTCAAAAAGGGACCACATTTGACACTTTTTACACAATCAAGTTGGCACACAAAGCATGATTTACTTCTCTCGTTTGTCTTTCCCCTTTTTTTGAGAAACCATTTTTCCTTTTCTTATTACATAAGTGATTTAGATTATTTTATCCAGCGATTTAGGTTGAAAGGCCGATATTTTTTATCTTTTATCAATATTACACTATTGAACAAAAACCTCTATTGAATACTCAGCCAGTATCCATTTATTTCATAATTTTATGGTTGTAAACCTCGTCTCCAAATAATTGGTATACCTATCTATTCAATGATCTAAAGATGAAGCATCAACTGCATTCCCCTTTTCTTTTTGGATCTTTGTTGCAGACATAAGGATGGTGTAACATGATCACATATGCACTTGTCATTGCTGCTCTTTTTATCACATCAATCGGTACTTCCCGTTTGATAATTTTGTTGGTAACTCTTTTTATAATTTTATTTTTTATTTTTTTAAAAAAGAAACAAAATGCATAATAAATAACTGTTGACTGTGGTATGTTTGTTACATTATAGGAACCGTAATTGAGAAGGTGTAAAATGAAGGGGTTTCCAATCCAGCTTTTCTGGTACAATCACTCGCTTTCTCTTTCTCTTCTTTTCATCATTTCGCTTCCACTGCTCGACTACTTTATCTCCTAGACAAATGATATGCTGTCCACGGTAATATTTAAGGGCACCAATGTTTTGTAGAGTATGTAGAATATCCTGTGTGGTAATTGATGTCTTTTGTGAAATCTCCTCAATCGTCACTTCCTCTTCTGCTTTTAGTAAATATTCAACAATCGTTTCTGTCCAAAATGCACGATAAGACAATAAACCTAAATCTGACAATGGCTTTTCTGGTGAACCTGTTCTTCCTTCTGCTTTCGATAGTTCATAAGAAAATGCAATCAGCAGTCGACCATAACCAAGTCGCTGGTATTGAGGTAATGTCAAAATACATGCTACATTGTAATTTTCCGATGATTCCTTCTCTTTGGAAAAATAGCCGATAAGATGGTACCCTTTCTCGTCTCTCTCTGTCATGCAGTAAAATAAGAAGGGATCAACGTCATAATATAGTGTCTTGTGATCCAAAAATAGTTTTGAGAGTAGACACAAATTTCTACACCATGTTTTTTGTTTACGTCCATCAATTTCAAAGAACGAGATTTCATCATTTCGATAGATTTCATTGCCTGGTGGATGATACAGTTGACATCGAGCCCTGTGTCGAACAAGCTGTTTATGGGATACATAGTAACTTAAACAGAATTCACAAATATAGAGTGTGTCGCAATAAGCATATTCAATAGGATAAGGTGAGAAATACCATGTTTCGACTTCATGCTTTCCAATCTGTATCTTGTTCAAGTTTTTCACTCGAGCAATTTCTGCTACACTCTGTGTCATCGAACCTCCTGTACGCAACTTTTCAATCTCGTTTTCTTTTGAGAATGTATTCTTTTCTTCTTCTTCTTCTTCATCCAGTTCCATTTCTACTGTCTGGCCATGTTCATCTTCATTACCCAGCACAACCTGATCGACTTGTTCTTCCAACTTTTTCCTATTCTTTCTTCCTGAAGCACCAGGAGGTGGCGTTCCCTGATTACTCCCTCTACCTTTCTTTTGACCTTCGAGTTTAAGATTCTTTTTTACTGGAAATTCAATAGGTCTTGTTAGATCTAAACGTTTGATCGGCACCCACTCATCTAGACGCTTATTGAATTCGACATAATGTACATAATATTCTAATCCATTGCCTGGCGTGTCTCGAGACGAAAGAACTTCAGCCCGACGAAACTCGGAATCTTCTTTGCCGTTGACAGTTGTGATTTTTTCTACAAACAATTTACAATTCACTGGCGCAGCTAAAAACTTTTGAACCATGGCTGCTTGTTCCAAGTCCAGATTAGATTTTTCTGGTTTGGGTGTTGTGTTGGAACTGTTGGTTTCGCTTGTTATTTGTGTTGAAGGATCTGATGCTTCTGGTGTAGTTTCTGACATGGGGGAGAGCAAAGAATAATTAAAAACAAAAAGAAGACGAAAAGAAAAAATCACCTTGTATGCGGAGATACAGTCTCAAAATTTCAATGTCAGATCAAAGGCTTCTCAAGTGCCGTCAAAGTCTTACTGTGTAACTGGCACAGTGTTATGCGTAAGTATTTTTCTATATTTCTTTGTATTAGTAAATTGATCAATATCTTCTAGATTAGAGTCAAGAAGAGTAGGAGAGAGGTTATTGGTAGGAGGGGAAGTAAGAGATAGAGGCAAAGAATGACACACGAGAGAAAGATATGATTACATAGCCTTCCATTGTATGGGCAGCTGCAAGACTTGAAATATGTAACAAACTTTTCGAAACTAGCAACCATTTGCTCAAACAGACCAAGGACGAATTCATCTTCAGCATACATCATTTGGTTGAAACAAAAGCGTACACTCTCCTGTTTTTGCTTTATTTCTTGAACCGAATCGTTTACTTTGATCTAAACGTAGGGCATATGTCTACCAACAAAGGATAATCTATTTCTTGCTATGAATATAGACATAAAGAAAGAATAACGAGTGGGAAAAGGGCGACGAAGGAAGAGCAAGTTTAATTCTGTCGTCGTTTATCGCAGACAAGTGAGCGCGTTTTAAGCCACGCAGGCTATTTAAATAGTTTCCACGTTTCCCTTTTTTAAACAATAATGGACAGTCTCCAGATTCGAACCATTCCTGTGACATTACTTGCACGCATTCTTTTACAGTTACATACTATTCCACATGATGAGCAATTAGACTTACTAGCCCTCATTGCAGCTGGACTGCACAAGTATGGACACACAGCTGATCTAAACGGATTTTTAAATCATTGTCAAATGACCAGTAATAACAACAAGCAGAGACATTGGGAATATTATGAAGTACGGAATGAGAGAGACTGGGAAATGGCCATTCAGAAGAAATCGCATCAACTTACTGGACTAAGATTCCTTCTTGATTCAGAAGCAGTAAAGAAAAAAAAATAAAGAATAAACACGCCTTGAACATTGACATCTTTTCTTTCAACAAAGGCAAGAAAAGACGTGCAACTTTTAATACAGGGCAAAGCAGGATTGCTCAACAGCAAATGCAGTTATAACTACAATGGTCAATTCATTCCTATCGATAAACTATTACAAGATACCAAAGACTATTTCAAAGAAACACACAACACACCCGAGTGCGCGGTCTTGCAACAGTTACTCAACTTACGACTCGAGCAGTTTGAACGAGAAATGGCTGAGTTTGAGAAAGAGAGTGTTAGTGTAGACAGTGCAGAGTATAATCTAATGGGTGCTCTCATGGTGCGGTACGATGGAACCTCGTGGTGCTTGTACCTTAGAGATTATATAGAGTCGCCTGAAGGTATATCATGGCGAATATTAGGCTCTGATGAAGAAAAGAGAGTAAGAAACAGCCAAGCTATCTAATAATTCTGTTTATTTACACACACAGAGTAGATTACCTGTGATCAAGCGTTAGCAGATATCCAAGGCACAGAGACAACAGGAGCGTTAACACAAAGCGAATTTTCAAAAGACTATAGACCTGTTTACTTATTTTATGGCAACCAAGACGTATTAACGATGCCTCCGCAAGATGAGACAGAGCATGATAATCAGCAGACAGCGCCAGAGAATAATGACCATCAAATCACTTGGGAAGACTTTTCGTTTGATGAGGATTACGCCTATGCAGACTCAGCACAGGAAGAAAATGCAATATGCATACACTGTGGTATTGAAGACATTGTAAATGACGTTAATGATATATTTATCTGTGAATCTTGCGAAAATGGAGTACATCAGCTATGTGAGGATCCTCCTATTCAAAACTACGAAAAGGATATTGATCCTTGGTACTGTCGAGCATGCTGTCGAGCAAAGAACTTGCCTATTCCTCAGATGCCACCACCGCCTTCAGCAAAAAGAAAAAGAGAAGAAGAAGCGGTTACTTATTTGAATAAAACATTAAAACCATAGAATCAGAATGATAGGAACAGAGAGGAACAGATAGCCTCTTTATTATGATATAAAGAATAAGGGGACAACGTTTAATTTAAAGATGAGGGTAGCATAGCTTATATTTACACAGTTTGTTTATTTACTCTTCTTCTTGGGCTTCTTCACACTAACTGCCTTATCAAACTTGCCTAAACTGGCAGTTGATTGCTTTGCTGCAGCAATGGCAGCCTGTAACTCTGTCTTTTTCAACTCCTTGATATCCTTCTTTCCAGCTATGACAGCAGCAGCAGATTCTTCTTGATTTCGACGTTGTCGCTTGTTATTCTTTTCCACACGAGCCTTCTTAGCCTCGCGAACCTTTTGATATTGATCTTCCATAGGATCGACATGATCAGGCACGGGAATAAGCCAATCATCAGCAACTTCATCCTTATTCTTGGCCTTATAACCCCAACGAGGCTCGTATTTTCCAGTTTCTTCATTGTACACCATTCTCTCCTTCTTCTTGTTTGTGATGCCCTTGGCTTTGGCAAACTTCTCCCATCGGGTAAGTGGCTTGTCTTTGGGAAGTGGTTTCTCTCTGGGCAGCACAGTTTTTCTATCTGGTAAGGTGGCCAGTACACCTGTGTCTGAACTTGTCACAGGAAGTTTAAAGAGCTCATTGATTAACAATTGCGTATTGTCTCTGGTTAATTCTTTTAAATAGCTTTCAAGTTGACTTTTATCCCTGTGAAATACATGAGTAAATAATCAAAGATATTCTTTTAATTGATGCTTACTTGAGCCTCTTCTCGTCAAAAGGGTTGATGTCAAAGGTACTTAACAGATTGAGATCGTAACCAAGAGGCACAGGCTTTTCAACAGTTATTGATTGACTATGAAAATGTTCAATATTTCTGTTCTTAACTCTTTCAATATAAGCAACTTCTTTACTTACACTTTGGCCTCATGAGCATTTAAAATCTCTGTGACATCCATTGATCTAAATATGTTTTTTTTTTTGTATAAAAGTATTTTTTTTTTTTGAATATATAAAAAGGAGCAGTGACCGCCTTTGTGACTACTTTTATTACCACCACTACAATCTTTTATTAAACCTAAGTGGGCAAGTTCAACAAAGTGGATGCCATTTTTAATATAGTTTATAATAAAATAGTTTTTGTAAGAAGTTTTTTTATTGTCTTCTTTTTCTGACATAGTTTTCTTTTTCTTTAAAGCTCTATTCATGAAAAAGTTAGATATTTTCACAAGAAAGATCAAGCTACATCCTACCTTTGTATAAGGGCTACCAATGATATCCAAGCATTGATATCAATCGCTTCTTATGTTCATAGGTGTGAAGCTTTGTTCAGCCAATCGCCATAAATTTCATTGATCTGCTTATTATTGAATATACAAGTTTTACCTTTATTGTATTGAACGTAGAGAATAATCGGGTAAGCCCACAAACATTTTTCCTTGTCTTCGGCAAGTTGCACTCATCGACATGGATCATTTGGGACATTTTGTGGAATTTGTAGTCCATGTAATAGACGTTGATCCAAGTGCCTAATGTCAAAAAATTAATACTTTATACCACCATGTACACTTCACAATGTCTACCGTCACTAATTATGCGACAAACAGAAGCATTGTATTAGCCATATCTCTTGGCTCTGTTGATTGTTTCTTTCATTGATATTGCAAACTTCTCCAGGTCTTTGGGAACAATTACTTTATTTGTCTTTTCTTTTTTTATTTCCACAATGAAAAACTTCATTGCGTCAGCTTTTGTTTGTAAGCCATATTATGATATTGTCAAATAAATAGTTTACCTCTAAAGCATAAGAATACAACAAGATGGAATAAAACTTTTTGTAATTATTCTATAAAACGAGAAAGAAAGAGATTTGTGGTAAAAGGGGGAGTTGACTTTTTATATGCAAGAATAAATGTTGCCAAACATCTAATGAATTATATCATATGACACGTCATCAAATACTACAGACTATAGATGCCATGAATCAGCGCTGCGGGCTTAATGTGAGATATTATGGTAATATTGAATAAAAAAGACGACTTTGACTTGCGTATGAAATATATTGACTATATTAGGTCAAAAGGTGTAACTTTCTTTGATATAAACGTAGAAACACAACAAATGATGCTATTTGAGGCCAAGAGACTTCATTATACAGAGATCAGGGCGTTGCACGGATGAATTGATAGAATTTTTCTTAGCTTCAAGAATTCTAGTATTCGTCCAGCGTAAATAGTACACCTGGTCATGACCGCCAAAGAGGTCAGATAAGAAGAACTCAACGAAGCATGAGTAGGGCACAGCCTCGTTGACATACTCTCGTATAGCAGCTTTGAGCAATTTCTGAACTAAACCACAAATAGCCCTTGACAAACTTTAGTCCTGCATTCATTAAGTTCATTCTCATTAATTCCATTGTAGCTTGGATCCTTGTGAGCTTCTCAGTGTTAACTTGATCAACGATGCGTAATAAGGGCGTAACTGTATCCATTGGGCATTGGTACAGTCCTGATACTGTGCATATTTTCAATATAGTAGCTTAAAGTGATTTAGAAAAAGCATTTATTTTCAACATAATAAAGAACAAGACAAAAGTTTAAGTCATTTAAAAAACATATTTATTTATTGAAGATTATTCTTAGAAGTCAATGTTTTGCACCAAAGAAAACCTAAAAGAGAAGAAAAAAAGGTCAGTAACGATGTCAAAAGACTTTTAAAGGTTCTGATTGCTGCTGTAACGACATTCTTCAGGTCGACCATTGACCATCAGAGCAAAGGACCAAGCAGCCTGCAAAGGCCCGCAATAGCAGACGTACCGTTGAAGTATGCACTAGCTGAGCCTTGTCAATTGTCAACTAGATTATGTACCCTTTGCGCCAGCCAGACAGCAGGAAGCATCATCAACGATCTGTCACAACTGTGATCTCAGATAACTAGCTCCCATCTAGATCTATTAATAAGCATCATGTTTATATACAGTTCATCGCATAAGCCCCACAAGGGGCATAACAATCTTTGACCTTTCGGAAGTTCGCAACGCCTAATGAGGTTGACGGTATTTTGTTCGTCCTCCTTTTCCTGGTTTTCACGTTATGCTGTGAATGTGATGTGTTACTCTGCAAGCGCCAGCAGTGCTTGATCGCTGAAAGTGACGAAATGATTGATTCTGTTTATTTCCAGGAATCCATGCTCACTGAATACAAGCACAGTCTCATATGGCTTCTCTGTTGAGATTTGATTTTATCTCTATATAGGTACACTATGAGAAGACAAGCGGGATGAATACGATCTGGTTGCCCTCCATTTCGATTCTAGACGTGGTACTAGCTCTGAGTCGCGCTTTTTTACTCAAATTTTTAAGTAAAAAGAAACAAAAGACGTATACATCACTCCAAAAAAAAAAGTAAACACCTGGGCCAAAAACCCACTTAGAAAGTTTATTGCTTTTTTACAAGTGATTAGGTAGGTGATGTTTAATGACTCTCTTATTAAAAGACACGTATTTCTTTATACTTGTATAAGAAACTACAAACTGACTTCAGTAGAACAGCAAATCTTGGAGATCATCATAAAAGAGTCTATGGCACCAAATAGAGGGATAAGCAAATAGGGTAGATAAAGACAAAGCAACCCAAACAGCTGGAAACGTGTCAATAATGACCCAAATATAATTTCTGCAAGACAAGGAATAACTGTAGTTGATACATGTGCGCCATAAACTGATGAAGTTATGGTTAGTTTAAAAATAGGTGTCAAGTATTTACAAGTTAAACTTACTTATCAGTGGAAGTCGAACCCAAAGTTTTCCTTAAAAATACAAATATTAATAAGAATGGTACATCTTTAACAAGTAGAGTTAGTTACTATGAGATATTCCATAAATGGCTATAAAAAAGAATGGAAGTTGTAAGAATGCTTCACAGAAAACAAAGGATTTAAACCAATACAAGTGTGTATTGAGAGTAGCGTTCATAAGTGGGTCATTTAATATGTTTACATAACGAGTGTTTGTATCAAGGAGAAGTTGAGGAACCCAAGTTTTAGGATAGATGGCTTGCAAGTCAAATAATAAGGTAATTGGAATATGTGATATAAAATAATAATATAGAATATGGTCCATGCGACCATATTCAACTGGGGCACTTTTCATTGCTTGGGATAGAATCAAAGGAGGAGAAGTGCTTCATATAAAAATTTATTCTCAATCATTCAGCTTTTTTCAAGAGGCGTTCCAATAAGCTTGGGGGGACAGATCCACTTAAAAAAAAAAATAGTAACAACCGTGTTTTACAGAATACTGTTTACTTTTTCATAATGGAAATATCTGACAAGGTAAAAACTCTTTATGCAAATCAAAGAAATGATCCATTTACTAATCAGTGTTTGAACTTAGGGAGACTCACAGGGTATGCAAATACTTTCATACGCTTAATATATACATTGAACTTTCTTTGTTTATAAACAGTGTCTATCAATGTCGATAAAAGATCTGGCCTCACTTATAAAAGAGCAAAAGTGATGCGTGACAATGGTTTACCAGTATGTGATGTGTATCTATTTTACTTTGCAAAATTATTAACTTTTGAACTAGTTGAGTGAATTTCAGCCATTACATGCGATACCAAAAACACCCATGGACGGAAGACAACTACCCTCAATGCGTCACGAATTATCCTTATCAATAGCGAATCCACCAGGTACACCTGAACAAGAAGAAGATCTAGAAGACGACGACGATTCTTCCTTGTACCTGGATGACCAAAGTAATTTAGACATTTCTGGTGCCTCCGAAATTATATCCACCAGTAGTCGTATTCACCTTGAAGGTAAAAGTATAGTCAATATACACATATACATAAGTCTAATTGTCTCTTTTAGAAACATTACTGCCTCCTAGTGTTTCCTCTGGAGACTTGTATAAACATATACCTAAAAATCTTGATAATGCTGCAAAACTGAGGCAAATTATTTATTGGGCAGCAAAAGAGGAGTTGCGAAGAGAATCTACCTTGAGATACCCCAGTTTAAGTAAAGAAGAGAGTGAGATAAAAGCCATTTCATATCAACTAAAGTTAAAGTTCTTGGACTTACTTGCCAATGGTGAAGTCCCCTTGTCTTGGGTGACTACAAATCCTACAATTGAAGTAAAAAAGAGACCGAACCCAAGAAATGTGAAAAATCAAGAAAAGATAAAAAGGCTAGAATATGCAATTGATTGGTAAGAATTCATTTAGACTAGAGAGAACTTTATAATAATGCATGTGGTGTAGCTTAAAGAGAGAGGAAGAAGAGTGGCGAAGAGCTACTAGGAAATTGTACGAATACCATGCAAGAACTGTAGATCAAAGTTCAATAGACCTAACCAGTCAATTCGACTCTGAGGGTGATTATTTAAAAGAATTAGAGCATTCACCTGCAATTGTTGAAGAAGCGTTAAGACCTATAGAAGTGCCACGTATAAATAATGATCTTGGAAATATTGGGTATCAAATCTGTCATGCTCGACAAATGCTACATACGGCAGATGTGTTTCAAATGCGAGCCAAAGAATCTCTTGAACGAGTCCATCATATTGTTGGACAGAAGCTAATTGCTACGACAAGTCGAATAGCATACGAAGATTATGAAGAAAATACTATACCAAGATGCTTTGAAGACCCTGAAGAAAAGATCAAGGAGATTCGGAATAAAGTTGGACATAAACTGCTATTAGCATTAGTGAGCCAAAAACGAAAAGAAGTGAAGGAAAATAAGCAGAACGACCTGAGTTATGGTGAACAAATGGATGAAAGTTGGTCATAAGAAAACATATGGCTTGTCTCATGCATTCCGCTTGATCTACGTATACCCAAATAAAAAGAACTGTACTTTTGTTTACCTAACAAACTGGACGCTCTCTCTCTGTCCTGAGCCTTTTTTTCCGCTGAACATAGCAATAGCAAAATATTCAGAACGATTATCGAATCATCAGACGCTGTCACACTTGTAGCAAACCCATCTCTCACTTTGATAATACTTAATTCCTCTATATTCTGTCTATTTTGACGTGAACAAAAAATCTATAGAGACTCGAGGTGATTCTGGCTTTCTATGTTAGCGTTTGTGTTCTAAAGTGTATATTGGGTGGGAAGTGTATGTCATGTGCTTTGATATAAAACAAGCCCGTGACAACTAGCAATTAATATTCAATTGTGATCTGAGTGCTTGCTTTAAATCTTTTATTCATATCTTCAAGTGACATATGGGGTTATCTAATTATGATTTTGGGTTCAGTAGTTCAATACATCTTTGCAAATTTCCTCTTTTTGTCACAGCACATGACTCAAACAAACACTCAGCGTGTTTAACCTTACGAAATGGATAGTCTTCCCTTCTTTACCTTTGTATGGTTCGTACGTCCTATCATCCAATTATGTGCAACAAACAATGTGTTCACCAATGTATACCTTTTTACATTTCTCTATGGCTAATGTGTAAAATAGACTCTATATATATATATGTATGTATGTGTTTTAGCTGTAACATCTGATGTATACCACGCAGTTCAGTTTGGTTTACTTTTTTTGGCTTGCAGTTGTCAACAGTCATTAATCCCATATTAAGGACATATTATCTGAATATAGCATTTTATGGAAATTTATGGGGATAATGTATAAAGTGACAGTTCATGCGCGTTAAACACTCTTCCCTTCCCCTTAAGCAAGCATATATTGAACAAGGTATATCAACAATATTATAAGAATTATAGTATCAATAGTTTATATTTTATTTCTAGAAATTTCTCATAGCAACCACTGGAAACGTAGTTTTAGAATTCTTTGCCATAAAACTTGAGCTTGGGCTCCAGATACTATCGGCTTCATGAATAGATGCAGCAGGAGAAGTACTGTTGCTAGTAGTGCTACCAAAATTAGTACTGGCATTTGACACAGGAGAATTTATATCTCGTCTTTCGGAAGTATAGTCTGAATCATGGATGAATGTGCAACGGATACCATAAGGACAGGAACCATCAGAATGGTAAGCGCGGCAAATTTGAGTTTTATAACGAGCATGTCTTGGTACAGTTCGAATTTCTTTTTCTCCGTGAGCATAAAGACACTTAGTACCATATCTAAGTTGATAAATATATGTATATAAAAATGCTTTTATACAGTAACCGGAAACTTTTTTTTATTATTATTGTATTTATTTACCTGCAATGACCCAATTCAATCCAATTTCTGCAAAATTCAGTCTTGTACAATGTGATTTCCTTTTGTTTGGACTTGAATGGCGTCTGAGGATTTGAAACAGAAGGTTTTTGGTAGAGTGGAGGCGATGGTAACTGTAAGAATGGTGAAAGGTTTTGGAGGCTCCAATTAGGCATCGATGGAGAGGATCCTAAACGGGAGCTTGAGTAGTGGTGTTGATCGGATTCGAATAGATTAAAGATCATAGTATTCAAAAAAAAAAAAGTAGAGAGAGAGAGAAAACTTTACAAAGAAAAGAAGAAGAGAGGATAGGAGAATTACATAAATATAAATACTGTTTTTTAAATAAGCGAGGGACTAAACATAAAACTGATTTTGATTCAATGTTTCGCACAAGTATAACAATAGTCTGACCAACCTATGCTGTTACAATATAGGCTGATACACGTATGACCAAACGCGAACAAAGGGTAATTTGTTAACCCCAGATATGAATTAACCCATCAGATCCACCCGATAACATATTTATATTTTCAGGATGATAATCAAGCGTAGTAGCTACTCCTTGATGAGCTTCTATTGTTGAAAGCACTTTTGCTTCTAAAACATCATAGATATAAATCTTTCCATCTTCTGAGCCTGTGATTGCATATTCATCCTTATTTGATAAAATGGACTCAATCTTGTATTCTTTATGTTTATGTCCTTTAAATCTATGACAAATTTAGTAATATTTCTCTTACAGGTTTTGTTTACTTTACTCATTTAACAATTTTCCATTGCTTTTGTCCATAAGCCTCATTGTACTGTCTAGAGAGCTCACTAGTATACAATTACCATCTTTAGTTATCTTGGCAGATGTAATGGGTGATCCAATATAGTCTTCTTTTAATTCCCCTTTTCTTATATCATACGTTCGTAGTCTACCATCTGCACATCTATTCATGTGTGTGTGAATATCCTAACATTCGTTTAAATTACTGTCATTTCCATAGTCTACCCTGCTATAATCTCCGTATCTTGAATATGAACTGACATGACGCTGTCTTTACAATCCTCAATTATCTGGATAGGTTGTAAATTCATTGATCGAAGGTCCCATAGTCTTATCGTTGCATCAAAAGATGCACTTATCAATACTGTAGATTGATCATTAAACCCCACAGAATTCACTCGCTAAAATTTAATCAACATCTTTAGTCCTTTCACATATAAAAAACCATTTACCTCCCAGTGAGCAGTATAACGTCGTAGAATTTCACCTGACCCAACGTCCCATAGAATAACAGAGCGATCAGCACCTCCACTCGCTATTTTTGCATTATCAGGTGAACTGTTTCTCAGCTTGTTAAGTCTAGCCCCTTCTTTTTTTTATTGTTATCTCGTATACTTACGCTGTTACTGCCAGAGCATCGCGACTATGGCCAGTGTATGTGTGTAATAAGAGTCCAGTTGACGGATTCCATAATCTTATAGATCGATCTCGACCTGCTGAAAGACAGTACTGACCACTGTGATTATAACATACATCGTTTACAGGACCTTTATGTCCTTTTAAAGTTAGTTCTAGTCTTGTTGGATATGGCGCCATATACTGCAAAGTTTGGAGGAAAAAAAAAAAAGGAAAATTCTGGTGTTAAAATATTACTTGGTTACATCGCTTTAATCTCCGAGTGGAAGGAGCCTGTGCTCTACTAGTTGTCGCAGGCCATGTTTTCCCCATGTCCCTTTCTTTCTCCAAGACTATGTGTACAAGAAAGATCTTTATGAGGAACCCATTTCTTACTGTTAAAGAAGTGATAGTTTAATATGAAAATATTCCTATCAAAATTTCATCTGGAAATTTTAAACCATACTATAAAAAAAACTGCCCAAACATGTCATAAACATATGAAATGTGTTATCTCTAAAATTACAGCATAAAACAATTAGGATTTTACATTTTTATTGTTGTCCATTTGGTGTAAACATTAGTCGGGAATCAGAAAAACAAAAAACATATTCTACAGCATTGCTTTAAGCATAGATTTACGCGTTTAAGCACCTTTTTTTGAAGATTGAGATCTTTCGAGAAGTCTTTGGTATTGCACAACTTTATATGTTAGGAAAAGCTAGCAATTCTATTAGGGAGAGCTACTCTATCAGTCAACATAGTACTTACCTTGTACACAAGAAGAAAAACCATAGGAACAAGCATGCCCACATAAACAAAGAAAGCAGTAATTTCTTTGTCTCTTCCATCCTTAAAGGCACCAGAATCTATATTATCATCTAACTTGGCGTTTTTCATAATCTTGGGAGTTTCAAGACTAAGTTCAACTGATGTCACAATAAACTCAACTAAGTTTATAAACCTACAGTATTTATAGACGCTGATAAACGTTATGCTTTCCTATCAAAAACTGTTTAAAGGAAATGTAATCAATAGGATGCCGCGTACTTACAAAGTAAGAGCCAATAAGGCCGACAAGGTAGTTATAATCGCTTAGAAATGTGATTGCGTTGAATGAGACTGACAGAATAGGTATAGTTATCCTGAATATCCTTAGCAGGCTTGGGCTGCAGTCTTCGCAAGGCACAGGTTCTTCTGTAGCTAATCAGATGATTTCTCAGAATAAAAACAACAATAATAAATGTCATGGAGGATCACTTACGTTCGTCTGTCTTGAGGATCCATGTATCCATTAAGAAGAATATGACATGGAAGATCTATGTCATTATTCAGTATAAATGTAAATCACGTATATCAATATTACTTACTAGCACAAGTATACAATGAGCAAGAATCCCTGTCCTTAAGGGAAATGCGATATCGCAGCATTTGGGATCTTTTCTAAGGGGATCATCGAGTTCAGCCTTGGATGGCAAATCACTTTCCTTGCTTTGTTTTCTTTTAAACATATACATTGTAATTAAAGAATATGACAGGAACAGAAAAAAAAAGAGCAAGCTTTATTTAAAACGGTGCAAGGAGTTGCTTAGCAGTTGGTTCTCCGTATGATATAATCGTGTTACTTATCACAAAGGCTGTGTAGGAATCTCAGAATACATTTGCAGAATTTTCTAAAGCAATTGTAGACATATCATCACCCTTTACAAATCATGCTTTGATTTCATGTAGTGTGCTTAAAGAAGTATTTTATGCTTACAAATCTCTTTCTTAATTATTCGACTTTGTCTTCAATGAATAGTAATTGCACTATAGTGTAAACACATGAATGTAGAATTTATTAGCGGTAATCAAAAAATAAACAGGGACAAATGTGTTGTGCCATGTTGGATGACTCAACGAGTGGAGGGTGACGGAAACTACATCGGTTGTTAAACAAAGCCGAAGCTGCCTGAAGTGACCATCCGTGATCGTTAAGCCTGCACTGTCAGTAATGGTGTCAAATAGCATCAAAAACACAATTTAGAAGCTTCAAATGATATTTTTCGGTGTGAGCCGTGAGAATCTTTGGTAAACATCATAACCAATCACACATCCATACAATTTAGAAAAACAACATAGCGTGACAAAGAATGGAGGGCTACTCCCCATGTATGCCATCTGAGAGGGCAATCAACTGATCTCTATATCTGTGATACTTTCTTATTTATTCTCATCAACTATTTGTCTATAAAATTTGTTGAATTACATACAGTCAAAAGAGAATAAAAAAGAGCACGGTTTTCTTGCAGCTTATATTTTATTCAGAGTATCAAGATACTCATGGAAGGCTACATGGGCTTTAAATGGCACTGTGCAGCCTTCCATGAGTCATAGTTGGCCCTGCTAAAGTATTATAATGGTTAGTTCATTGACTTTTCTCTTTACTTGTTTATTAAGTTTCTTTTAAGCACAAGTTATCTCCTTTTATTAAAAAAGTCTGCTATTCTCTTCTTTTGAGGAGCGTAGCTCATTATCAAACAGTACTTCCTTCATATGCTCATACTCATATTCATCTCGCCTATTGAAGTTTTAAGTAAGGCTCCTTTTTTTTTTACAGACTTATAATGGTTCGTCCTCTCTCTTTTCCTGTGGGAGCTCTAGAGTTTTTTGATGATGCTTGCAAGTCGTACTTGCCCCAATCATTTTTTCTTCCTTTCCAGGCTATGATGATGTGTGCTTACTGTAAATCTATACCAGTAATCACCTAATCTTGTTTCAAAACTGATAAAGAATAAAGTTGAAAGAAGTAACCTCTCTTTTTTAATTGCTTCATGTGTTTATCTTTCTACAGAGCTGCATATCACTCTTTTGATAACTTAATAGTACTGTATGTACCTTATATGATAATCATTCAACCAATCTCGTCCTAATTTTTACTTTTTTTCTATTATCATAGCAGATTGTTATTACATTCAATCGTAATGAGAAATATAAGAAATACAATAATAGCTCACTTTTGATGAAGACTGTTTAAATTAATAATACTTTAATGACATTGACAATAGACATAAAAGCTTTCAGTTCACGATGTAGTAAAGTTAACAAGATCTTTTATTTACTTCTTTGTCTGTAAGCAGGACGACAATTAAATGATTTCAGATCTTCCACACTATTCTACAGTTGGTGCCTATCAAAGACCTTGAAACAATTTTGGTAAAAAAAAAAAAAGCAAGTCAATAACAATCTTTTGTATGTTGTTACATTCTCTACAAAGTTATTGTTAATTTACTTCTTGGAATATATACTGTTACTAATTACATAAGCAGGTTCTTTAAATCACACATATTGGCTGTCAAACCGGCGTACTCAATTGCTATTACACATATCTTCGTCTTCTTTCTCTTAATATAAGTTAAGAAATCCATAAAAAAAACGTGTTGCTTTTTCAAGAGGGAAACACTACATGCACCAGAAAATAGACTAATATTACAGGCGCTATCTATGATGTAGTCCAACAAAACTATTCAATATATAGCATCAAGCTAAACATGGCTTTATAATGTCGCCATCTTGGTGTGTTTCTTTTCAAGAAGAAGGAGATAAAAAGAAAATTTTCTAATTTTATGTTAGTTCGATCAGCAAAGACCACTTATGATAAATTCATATTTGCATTGTTTTGCCTATTTTCTGACCAAAAAAAAAAATACATCTTCCATTAACTTGTTTATCAGATAAATCTATCCCAGCTAAAGCCAGAAAGTGACTTGTCAATTTACAAGTCATGAACCTGAGTTTGACCCTGGGGCTGCCCTATTTCAAAATATAGTCCTTTTTGTATTCGAGTATACAAGTATGCCAAAGGGATGGTACTTCGTCCCCTCTTATGTTCTAGAAATCTACTTTTTTTATACCAAAGGATTTTAACCAACCACACCTGCTTACAACGCCCATACTCTACACTATTAAACACCTCATTTAAAAAATCACTCTTGGAATACTCATTGACAAAAGATATCAATGCACTCATCAAACAGTTACCTACACATGGACCAGAATCTACATCGGCATATTTATATAATGCTGCATTAAATAAATGTGTAAAGATTCGACAGTTTGATCACATGGACCAGATTATGACATTGATGAAAGAAAGAGGAGTACAAATGGATAGAGCAACATACAACATTTTATTACGAATCGAATTAGAGCAGCCAAACATTACACAAGAAGATATGTTCAAACTGTATCAAAAGATGATATCTCAGTCCATTCGTCCGAGCATCGTCACATTCAACACGTTTATAAAGTACACCTGTCAACACAAACATTGGGAAGCGCTTCCACAGTGGCTAAGCCTGATGGAAGAACACGGTCTGAAGCCAAATAGAATTACTGCACAAACGATATTTAAATGTCTTGTTCTAAATATGAACGATCCATTTTTATCAGAAGCGTTTGATAAAGTATCATCTGCCGTGCCAGAAGCGAGTTATGAGAAGGAATCATTTTGGAATGCGGCTATTGTTGCACTAGTCAAGGACAATAAGGCGGATATGGCATTAGATATACTCAATATGATATTTAGTAAAGAAAAGCCGCAGACGACTGATACTTACAACACCATGATCTTGACGCTTTGTCGTCAAGGTAACCTAGAAAGCGCGCATCAATTGTTGGACTCGATGATACACAATAACAAGATACCCAACCCTGACATCATCACATTTACTACTCTGATTCATGCCATTGTTAAACAAGGAGGAGATGAAGTAAAGCAATTGGATGACATTGTGAAATTATATAAAAAACTACAAGAACAAGGCTTACGATCAAACAATGTATTAAATTCAGTCCTGCTAGCCTATTTTGTAAAGAACCAACACTTGCATAATCAAAAGACAGTAGAGAAGATGTATAGGCTTGTCTTGAGCAATAGAGATGAAGCAAGAATTCAAAGCCAACCTGGTGATGTTGAACTTGTCGAAATGTACATCTATAACATGCTGATTGATTTCTACTTCTCTCGTTCTCGTTTGAAAAAGTCAGGGCGTATTCCTGAACAGCCATTTGTATTACTGAAGCATGCTATGAACCAAAGAAAGCTAAAGCCGACTACTTCTACCATGAACATATTCGTGCGAGGCTTGGCTATATATCATAATGATCTGAAAGCAGCAGAGACAACAGTGAATCTTTTAATGGCAAAAGGTGTGTCCTGGAATGAGAGGACGATATGGTTACTGGCAAAAGCAGCATTTCAACAAGGCAAAAAAGATAGAGCGTATCATTGGATTCAGACATATGAAAAAGAAAATGTCATCAAAGGAGATGGCTTACTATATCTCAAAAACCTGTACAAATTGTAATAAATAGTATTTCTTTTCTTTTTTAGATTACACTTTATTCACAAATTATTTACACACTGATAAAAAAAATGATAATTTCAGATAACAAATGAGACAACAAATGATAATAAAAGAGAACCCATCAGAAGTAAAAGGATGGGATATATAA